TTTAACAGGTAGCCGTAAAAAAAAGTATTAACCGTAAAAAAATTTGAGTCACGAAAGTAAAAGTCTTAAGATCTCATGATCATGAATATGTCAAGACTTTCATGTGTCTTATTTTGTGGCTTTTAAGCTTTTAGAAAAATAAAAAAAGGTTATATTAGTCTATTAAGTTCTCTTGATTATATCTTCATTCCGGCGCAGCTGAATGGTCCTTAGACGTAAATCCTGTTTAACAGTAATCAAAATAGATTTTTTAACCTTTTTTTCAAACAAAGAAAAGTTAAGTTTTAACTTTTATAAAATAATTGTAATCAATGTCTACGATTTCTCCTAATCGTAAGAAAAATAAATTAGCCGTTGGCCGTAACAAAGCCAGAATATGAACCATTAGCCGTGATAGCCACTACTCCATTGACACCCTTATTCTCTTGCACCGAAACATTTATTAAAGGAACTTGATGTATAGAAACTTTGTACAGTAGAAGCTCTGGCCCTTAGTTATTAAAGAACAAGTCATAATAACAATCAACGTTAACATTAAAAGTACAATGTATCACTCTAACAAAATGCAGTGATACAACTGACAATTTTTTATGCACTTAAAAATCAATGTGACGAAGAACGATGTGAAGTTGATTCTGATTTTTAAAAAATAAGATACCCAAGTTTGAAGACGCTAGAGGGATGTTCTCTCTGGTGTCCGCTTACGGGAACTTCAAGACAGAGTACTGAATTGAATCGTAATAAGCCCCGAAAGTGTCCGCGGCCGCTTACGGGAATGTCCGGTTGCGGGGATGAGTAAATACAGGGTTTTATGAGAGTCAGTTCAAACGGGGATTTGTGAAGGAGGTCGTAAGAAGAGCTTTCCGCTCAAGAAAACGTCCGTGAAGAGAACTTCTACTGTATTCGAGTTAAATGGATGGGCACGAAAAACTCTGACAGAATTTACTTTCCTTTGAGTGAGATCCATATCATATTCTCTTGGATCCGATGTAAGGGTTTTCGTATAACAATACAAATTGACGTAAACGATACCCGACAAAGAAAATATTTGCGCCAAGTCTCATTTTGTATTGAGCTGTGTGATAAGCTGTAACAAATAGGGGATTTATTTAAACCTATGTAAATGATTTCATGTAGCTCGTGACGTAACTGGACCCAGGACTTTGAATTGGCTAAGTATGTATGTATTGGCTAGGTATGTATCTTCTTTTTTGGGTCGCATTCTCCGCGATTGAACGGAATTTCCCCTCCCTCCACACGCCATTACCTGTTTTTTTCTAAATTAGCTGGTGGTTTCTCCCTTAACTTTGCTGGGCTAATACTTTGGTATGTTTCTAGTTTAAGATGATTTCCACTCAACATTGGACCAACCATAATAGAAAAATTAAACATTGTAAAACTTAATGGTTTGAACCCAGGAGTATCAATAGTTCGTATAGTGTGATCGTCCGAGTGAGGGTAGTTCTGAAAAGAACTGTTGTTGGTGACTGACGTTTCGACAACCTGAGCGGAAGTCATCTTCTTGACTCTGAAGATGACTTCTACTTGTGAAACCATTACGTGATATACAACGCTTCTTATTACTTCTTACTTCCCAACAATAAAGGGATCAGGGACATTTATACTTTTCCGTTATTACCCTATTTGTTACAAATCAGATTCACATGGGCGGACAATATAGCTTGTTGTTCCTTCAGTTTAGTTCTAAATTTATCTTCATTAAACCATTTCTTACTGAGCTTAAGTGTATAAAAGACCTTGTGTGCGGAGACTATCCCCAACTTGTTATTCCTCTGACTTAGCTCGTTAAAAGCAATCGTTTGGAATTGAAGAAGAAAAAATCAAAATGAGTCTTGGAATTTTGAAGGTAATTCAATCGCTTTTATCCAGTTAAATATTTTTAATGAAACCATCAGGTCAGAGATTTTTCATTATAACCTTCCTACAATACGACATATTTTTTCTAAGAACTGGGGATCTTCACGGAAAGTTGCCATCTTCGCCAACCAAGAAAGTACTATCAAAATATCTAACGATGGTCTAATGGTAGCTATCTCACATTGATATTTCGCTACAGCTAATTGTTACCCAGACAATGAGGACTGGGTTTGAATTTCGGCCCTTTTTCCTTTACCTCGTTCAGTCACAAATCGCCGTCAGGTCTCTAAAGCGCATGCATCACCGGTGCATCGTGCATGCGTAGATCAGGGCAGCTGAGCACATGGTGGGAATTTACAGAAGTTGTCGTCGTTAATCCATATGTGATTTCTAGGGTGATGAAATCACATACAAACGAACACACCGTTTACGGTAGACCCACACTAAAGGACGTTAAGCGTTTTCGCAACGTGTCGGTCTGCAAGCCTTACGAGAGATCACTTAGCGAGCGAACATTCTGAGTGAATTGGTCAAGAGTCATGTTATAGATCGTTTTCGTGTGACGTCATCATTTTCTAAAATCGAAAATAAATAAAAAAATTAGTAAAAAATTATTCGAAAACCATTCAGTGGATAAAGTCAAGAAATTGTGATGTTACATGAGATTGGTAAGGAGGACACTTCTCCAAGTTTTAAGTCTGTGCGTTTTCCCAAACAGCAGACTGATTCGTCGAAATATTTTGCTCAAATTTAAAGAGCCCAGTATGGAGCCGCCATGTTGGTGTACCTCCGCTGTACACCAACGTGGCGGCCGGAAAATAATGTAAACATCTGGAACTTACTTAGCCTATCTAGGCGACTGATTATNAAAAATACAAAAAAAAAAAAAAACCTCAACAACAACAAAAACATTTGTTTTGCGTTACTGGCATTTGATTGTTTAGGTTAGAAAACATTTTCAATAAGTGGCAGCTTTTTATGAGTCCCTCCTCTCATTAATATAAATTGCGCCATTGAAACGACATTGTCAACATTGTCAAAGTAGCCTTGGATTCACAAGATCTAGATATAGAGTACAGACGCATAAAAACCTGGCCTCAATTTGTTTTGGTCTTTTTTTATAGTATCAGAAAGTCAAAACAATCACGCATGCGAGATCTGACGAGAGGAAACCTTGAGCAAAAGTGCAAGAGAATCTAAATTTCTTAAAACAAATTGACGTCAGTTTTTCATGCGTCTGTCCTGATATTGACAAATAACTTCGTCATAACATTCTCAAAGTTGTCCGCGGATTGACTTGGCTATCGGCTTGTGGATTCAAAAAAAAAAAAAAAAAAAAAAACTAGGAAAATAGACTGACACGTTTATAGGCCGATCATGATAAAGACCTTGACTCATTTCACGCCCTTAAGGCCTGCAAACGACTAATAAACTATTAATCGATTCCAAGAAATACAATCAAAGACAGAATAGCTTGAGCACATCGATTCGAGTTAATTTCGTACGACTTCACATGTACGACATTTAGCTCAATCGCAATATAGCTAGTGCTTTTCAGTATAACGACTGCCTGGGTACACGCAGCAAAGCGGCTAGTTATAATATAATTTGACCAGTAAAATTACTTTGTTACTGCTGTTCCCCAACCTAAAATAAAGTTACAAGTAAGTTAAGTCGCTGAATCTATCAATAGCTTTCAAACTACAACGATTGTCATGATCTCGNAAAAAAAAAAAAAAGGAAACAACGATGCATTGATAAATAATGCCGATATAGACAGCCAAGGTAAAAAAAAGTGACAACAATTCGAGATGTACCTTGACAGATTCCATCGACAATGGATACGTCATCAATAGCAATGTCACCTGTGAAGAAGGTTCCACAAATCCCCTCGAACGTAATCTAAATAAGAATAAAACGACATGGATTGTACATGAATTGTATATCGGGTTTGAATGGTACATGTAACTGTGTTCTAGGCATACCACAATAAGCTACAATGCCCAAACTAACAGTTGTTTAATATTTAATGGTATAAGAATGAAAATTCATATCTACATAACCAGTTGGATCGCCCAAATCTGTGTAAAATTGCTTACCAAATAAAAGCAAAACGAGTGGAAACAGCCAGTTTGTAACCTACTGTTATTTCGTTTACCGTTAAATATACCAATGAACGTGGCACTTCCTTGTTTGTCCTGGAGTTGCGTTTGGACATACAGTCATTTGGTCTTAAATTATTACACATGGCACGTAAGGATATGTTAGTTGTCGGACAGGAGGTCCGTATAAGGAAAAATTGTGCCAGACTTCTTGAGTACGCGGGTGAAGAGATGTAGTCAATGTACTCAAATTAATGGCAGGCGAGCTGTGGTGAAAAACGCAGTTATTTTTTCCTCTCTTAGGTTGATAAATTAACTATGAATTTTACTTTGAATTTTGAATCTTTGTGGCTCATAGCTCAGATTTAGCACTTAGAAAACCAAAAACACACGACAAGGCATAAGCTGAGATCTTTAGCTTAATTTATCAATTAATTAATTTCAGTCTCGGTCTCTGGAGTCCGTTAAGAAATCCCAATATAAAATATTGTTAGCCTACTGAAAAGTTCTTCAAACCAATTTTTAGCTCTTCAAAATTGTAAGAATTCTAAATGCTTGAGTTGTTTTCCAGAATTTTTGCTGAAATGTTTGGAAAGTGAAACTGTATATCTATCTATCTATCTATCTATCTATCTATCTATCTATCTATC